AGTTTTCTTCATCATAAAATGATAGCGATAAAATATTGTACAAAAAGACATAATAATAATAAAAATTTTGAGTATCATATCATGTGATAACGTATATTTGCATATTCTGTCTATTTGCATAAAAATCTATCGGTCCCGACAGTATGCAAATAGACAGGTGCGACTGTACTTACTTTATCCCATATATCGGATTTCCGAGACCGTCCAGAACTTTATTTCGACCAAAATTCTACGGCATAAAAACTCCTTTATATAATCTAGATATCAGAGTATTAATTTTTGATTTAAATTTTCTGTATACTTATTGTAAGAGATAACAAAAAACCCCCTTACCTAAAATGTATAACTAGCTGAATGTAACAATCTCTCTGCTCCGGAAATTACTATTTAGTTAGGTTATATATTCGATAAGAGCCAAAGATTTATTTTTCAATTCTTTTTTGTGCGGAGTAGGAACACACATTTAGCCTCGAAATTTCGCTTGTATTCCAAGAAAGCGACCTCATCCATACTCTCGCGCTTTTTTTTCCAGTAATTTGATTATCCCGCAATTCAAAGGCAATCATGGTTCGCCATTGTTCCAATTTTTCTTTCGACATTTGGAATTTTTCTTGTAAATAAAAGATAAGAGTATTCATTTTTGATGAGATATTCCGAAGATAAAGAAATTAAGGATTCAGGTAACTTAAACTCTTTCTTGACTTCAACAATGTTCGAGAATTGCTTTGAATTATTTGATTGATTTCGTGTTAATATTATAGAAGGCAATTGTGGCAAATTTGTCACGGATTTTCAACTATATTAATGCAAGAATTCTCTTCACAAATCTCATTACTAGATGATGCAGAGCATTGAAACTTTGCTTTCTCTGAAATGGTGATATCAGGAGTAACAGATATAGAATCGAAAAGTTCTTGAGTTTCATTGACCGATTCAGGTTTATATGGTGGAAGAATTGAACCTATAGGGAAATATTTAGAATTATTCACCTTTATAGCTGTCATTTCTTCTTGAGTTACAAAACCAGCTCCACCGTATGGTTTGCGATGAATCTAATAAGTGCTTTTCCATACTCTTTGATCGTTCGGTCCTTCTTTTCTTCGTCCATTCTTGATTGTATAACCGCACCAACTACCCATTACCGCATTAATAAATTTTATTGTAGCATTGAGATCGGGCAATCTTTTAGCTCTGATCTTAAAGTAACATGCATTTTCTCGAATTTTAACAATTTTTTCCTGTGATTGCTCGAAAGTCTTAGCCACATCATTACCAGAAAGAATATTCATATCATCATCTATATCTCTAAAACGTATTGATTGGACAAAATTATGTACCGCATCCCATTGTTTTACTGAATAAAATTTATGTAAATCGGGTCCATAGACTCATGTGAATCCTCCCATTGCATTTTTTCTTTGATTTTTAGATGTTCTACAGAAGTTATTGCAGTAAAACCTTGTCTTCTGAAATATGCCAGCCTTCTAAAATGTTGTAAAGGTTCAGGATTATTGAATTTTTTCACGAAATCTATATCACAAAGCTTAACCCAATCATCATTATTCATACCCAGTTTCGAATATCATCCTTGCCACCAATATCGCCTGAAGCACATGTTTTCCATAAATAATGACGTTGTAAAGTCACGTTATCAGCAAAAGAGCGTATTAGTATAGGATTTTGCTTAAGAATTTCAGCTTTATTGGGACTAATATCTGGAGCATTTGCTATTGATTCTGCATCCGAGCTTTCAATATTTTTGTCAATATTCTTAATAGTATGAGAAATTTCATTTCTGTTAATTTTCAGTGTCTTCTGCCAAAATTAATTCAAGAGTTGCTCCAGTACTAAAGAATCTCAGGAAAATATTTGGCTGATAAGCGTCTTTGATATTCGACCTCAATATAAGTCTCTACGGCTGGAGATGAATCAAGTGTATAAACAGTCGTTAATTTTATTCCATTCACGATGTCCTTTTATAGCAGTTGGCAAGTCGCCAGGCCTCAGGGCAGAAAGTTCAGCACGAGTGAGATCACGATTTGGTTCTTTGAAAATGCCAGTTTTTTTACTATTATAGAGAGAAATAATACGATATGGGCAATCGCGAACTCGATAAAACATTTGTGCAAAAGCTTCAGCATGCACTCCTGTATTAATATTACTTATTCCTATAACTGCGTCAAATGATTGGAAATTTCAAAAGATATGCCAGCTTCCACAGTCCACACAATCAAGACCACTCCAAGTAGCATTAATATCAGCAAAGTCATCTTGCCGTTGCTTTCCATCCATTTGGCCAAAATAAACTCGTGATAAAACGTGGGAGCCGTCTGGTTTTTGCAGTTTGGAAGCTTGGTTTGCCAAAGCTCGTGCTTTTTTGCATGAGGTCATTGAAAAAGCAACTCGTTTACCTTCCTGAAGCATCTTAAGACCCCTACGTATAGTTTATCTGGATCATAAAGAATTTTAACAGTCTCATCTTTACGTGGCTTATATTCGTTATCAAAAATTATTATGTCCACCTAGATATTGTCTCAAAAAGTTTAAAGTTGATTCGTTTGCAAATGCGTCTATAGAAATTACATGAACAGCTGATCCCGCATAGCATTTTCAGATTCACGCGCATGAACTCCGCTAGACATTTGACGCATAATAGCATTATTTTCGTCTAAGATAACTACGTAAGAACGCCTTCCATAGAAATTGAGACGATGGGTACTTTCAACTTGAACAATAACATCCCAGTCACGTATAGCTAAATTACCCTCATTTTCCTGATAATGGCATACACGGAGTCCTAAATTTGCAATATTTCAACTTTAGCTTTAATCTCATTGCTAAGAGTTTTACGATATGAAACCCAGTTAAAACAAGGCAATTCTGCTTCATTTTTGCCTAAGGAATCGAGAATTTCTCTTAGTGTTTTTGTTTTGCCACTAGCAACGGGAGAGCGAATAAGAGTTGTAGTGAGATTCTCGCTTAAGAAATCGGGGTAAGCTTCTGGTGCATCTTTCATTTCCTTTACATTGATGATAATTTGACAAGTGGGCGTGGATTTAATATGGCATTGGGTAATCTTTCAATTAATCCCCACTTGGGCTTTTCTTTCGACTCAACTTTGTCTGATACCTTATTGAAGCTAAGGCCCTTGTGATCTGGTTTGTATTGTTTTTGGCGATAACACTTAAGTATGAAATGCCCATATTTTTGAATAAATCCATAGAGTTTGTCCTTATCATGTTTAACGTCACATATAGGGCATTCTTTAACAGATTGTGCTTGAAAGTTTGATGAATCCCTCCAATCTGGAGCCACCCATATTTTTCAATATCATTGTCGATATGTTGGGATTCTTCTTTTACTGGCTCAGAAAAAAAAGTTCGTGCCAAAATTTCAGAATAATTCTCTTTAGGCTGAACCACATAATCATCTAGATTGTTAAATCCGTTTTTAACAGAAGAAATAGCAGGTCTTTTGATATGTCCTTCTTTTGCTGATCCAAGGAGCCAAAGATTAAAGTGGGATTTGTAAAGTCCAGTATCAATAAATTTGGAATAAGGTTCTCCAACTGATTCAATGACTTTTTCTACAAAACCTTTAAGATCACGATGATCAATAAATCAAGTATGGAGATAAATAATATGCCAACTACATTCATTTATATTTGATGAACTTGCCAAACTGAAGTTATTTAATGATACCATACAACCCAATGTGGAATATACTGTATCTGCACAAGCAACTAAAATTCGAGATAACAAATCTTCTCGTGTAATTTTTTTATTGTCTAAAAGAAAGCACTTTAGGACTTGTAGGATCAGGCTTCTGCCTTGCATCAATATCGATAATTAAGCGGAGGGGCTAGTTCCCATCAATACATTATGAGTATCTATTACTATATCAGGTATTCTATAAACTTCGCTAGGATGATCGATCACTGTATTATGTATAACCTTTTCCTGTCATCCGAATTATATATTGAGAATAAATCTCTTCAGGTCGATATGCATCTAAAAGCGCAGTATCATTTTTATCAATATGGCCATTGGATGCAAGCCATTATTTATAAAATGTATGTTCTTTATGGCCAGGTTTGTAATCAAGATCTGTTAAACCCATAAAAAGCCGTTTTGCTTCATTATATTCGGCTGACTTTTGATTGTATATGTGCGTTGTTTGATCTGACAAAAAGTATATGAAATAGTATATGTAATATAATTTTGAAACTATAATAATTTGTAGATAAATCTTTAAAATAAACTAAAATAATATCTTTGGGGGCAGCACCCCTTTATTTGTTTTAGATTAATTTATCTTCTTTTACTGGTTATGGTGTTGATGTTTGTCCCGCGTTATTATTATTATTTTTTTATTTATTTATATATATATAAATAAAAAAACGCAATTTTATACAGTATATAAAACCAGTTTCTTTGGTTTTTTCTACAAAAACCTGGTAAAGAAATATGAAGAAGTTTGAGAGTTAATTGTAAAAAGCAAAAAAAATTTAGATTTTTCTGTTCCTATTAAAACCGGAACTCGTCCACGGAAGAAGCCTCGCAATCGGAGATTGATGAATAATAACCGGAGTTTTTAATTCTTGTTTTTTATTGATATATTGCAGACCGAATTTTTCCGGAGTGAGAAAATCAAGTTGCATGGTAGCAAGAGTGATAATTTTTCCATCTGCAGGATACGAGGTCGTACATACCGAAACCTCCGTATCCAGAATTAAGAATTAGTTTCGTTAAATCCCGAAGAGCTGGCGAATATCTAGGGTCGTTTTCACGTTTATAAGCGTCTTGTTGGCATTTTATTTTGCCGCGGACAGAATTCAATTCCAATACAGACGCTGCCAGCAAGAGCGCCCCTCACAGTGAAGCCTTGGAAGAACAGATTAATCCTATTAGGTTTAATTTAATATTTGGGATAAGTCTAATTTTCGGATGCAATTTCAGATATTTTTTTAGAAGATCGTAATTGCCTTTTGCGTGGTTGACGGGATGGTTCGGTTTGAGGAGGGTTTGTTTCGTTGTTGGTATCGGTGGACGAGTCATTGAAGTTAGAAGTGGTAGGTGAGGGTATCTCTTGGTTTGTTTCTTTCGATTTTAAGCTGTTTGCAATCCCGTTTATTGAGTTGTAGAGGAGGGATCGTTTTTCTGAGGCAGATGATGTAAGAGGATGAGTTTGTATAGGTGTTGGAGGAGTGAGTGATGCTTGATATAAATTCGAAGTTGTGTAGTTCGATGCATAGTTTGTTTTCGTACACATCCAATTCTCCCACGATGGAGACTTGGGACCCTAATTTTGTTCGTTCGTACAAGTTTTTCTTCCCCACGTTATGCCGAACGATAATATGTTAATACGTTGTCATTATTAGTAGAAGATTGGTTATATAAGTCACTATAGTGTCCGCGTCCATCGGGAAACAAATCCGGGAATAATAATGCTTCTAATTCTGGGTCGGCAAAACTTAATGGTAATTTTTATTTAAGAGAAAACCTATGGCTAGACGAGAATAATGGGCATGTTCATTGTGTATTACGTTGGGTAAGATGTCAGATTGGTGTACAGTAGGAGCGGAATCGTCTTCAGAGATGTCCGTAGCTTGTGGCCAAATTGTTGCCAAATCAGCTGGAGATTGTTCACTTTGTTCAAGTAAACGTAAAGCTAAAGAATGATAAGCAACTAAATAAGGGTTATTGCGTTGTAACCATTCACAGGCATATTGTAATGATGGATGATACCAGCGGTTATCGGGAGCGGACAAATCCGCTTGTTGTAAGAAAGTACCTAGCATACCCGAATATAGAGTCAATGTTCTTTGTCCTGTTATAGTTCGGTATTCGACGAATGGATTAGCTCCTGCAGATCGCACCCAAACTGGTGTGAAGATAAACGGGTGACAGATATTTTCTTTTCGCGTATGGAACGTCTTTAATACATGTTGGTATTGGAGCAAGCTTACGGCTTAGCCGACCATCGGGATGAGACTTACAACTAT